TTTTTTGATACTTCACCCCTGTTGGCCACTGCTTTGATTATTTAAACCCTAGTTCGTTTCAAGCATTTATATTGACATTTGTTAGGTTTGTTGCATCCACCACTTTTTCAGTTGTTCACCGGCTTGTCCATGTTGGAAGGTGCCAAGCTGCACGCTGGTGACCTCGACGGCCTCGACAAGATTGTCAAAGCAGTCCCAAGCGTGGCTGCAGCAATCGGGTGCTGAGCATCGTGGTATTTCAGAGAGAGATCTGCAAAGGCTGGGTAGCTGCGAGCTCAATGTCCAGTCAGAGCTGGTCAAGAGGACTCAAGGTTTAAATAAGATGTTTGTCACTCTGTCTATGTAATGTGGACCACCTGATTGCCTGAAAAGAATGTAAAGCGCCCAGAATGGCACCCTACTTAGTTTTATATACTCCTACTTGGGACTCTGGGGTCGTTTACTATTGGTTGCACTGTGCATTCTTGCGCTGCACAGGCTGGGTTTGGATGGAAACTCCTCCATCGCAGAAGATGCCGATGCCGGTGATCCGCCATTGAGGCCATGTCAACGAGACTGTTTGGAGGCGTGTGCGAAGAAGGGTGCTCGGGTCATTGAGATGGCTTGCGGCACGGGGAAGACCCGGGTCATCAAGGAGATAGTCAAGAACATTTCCGGTAGGGCACCTTGATTGACGAACTTGATTGGCCAGCTGGCCAGCCAGCTTCAATCAGCACCCCAACCATGGGCGTTTTGGAGCTTTCTTGAGGTGTCATGTTTCACTTTAGGCTCGGCTCAATCGGCTTTGTTTTGCTCAGACTTTGCTCCGCGTCCAAGGTGCTGATCACGGTGCCCCTTCGTGCTTTGCTGGAACAGTTTGCTCCAGACTTCCCTGGATTTTGCAAAGTGGGCACGGGCTACAACAAGCAGATAGACATCAACGCCAAGGGGTTCATAGCTGTGACGGACTCTGTTTATTTGCTGAAGAACCTCGAATTCGATGCGATTTTCGTTGATGAAGCCCATCATCCTTTGCCGACTGGCATGCCCAAGTGCGAAGAGTTATATCAGCTCTCCGCCACTCACAAAGATGAGCCGGACTTTCGCTACACCATGGGGCAGGCGATCGAAGACGGGATCCTTTCTGATTACGACATCACCGTGCCAGCGATAAGCCGGCATCATTCGTATGTGTGCCTGGCAGACTTGCTTCTGAAGCAACCTCGACGGTTTCGCAGGGTGTTGGCCTATTGCAACAAGGTTGCCGAAGCAAAGCGCTTTCAAATGGTTTTGGAAGAGCTGGGGTTGGCTGCTTGGCACATCAACGCCAAAACGAGGCCGACCATACGGCAAGCCGTCAT